GCATGCCCATATAAGGTAATCACGCCCCCCCTCCGTCAGGTGACCTTACATGAAGTGATGACTCAAGCCTCCGTCACTCAGCCATTTTCGGCGATACTACAGAAAACAGACACACACGCTCAGCCCCGTGATCATTCTACACCAGCGTGAATACCGTGTGTGCCACCCAGACAAAACAGTCAACGACTACACCTAAAACCTACGTGGAGCTTCCTGTAAAAATGATGGGGCAGGGACAAGGTAAAAACCTGCAAATGGAGCCCAAGAAGAACCCCATCACCGAGGACTACCAAGTCTCGGCCGTCGTGCTCGGGCTAGGAATCAACGGGAAAGTGTTGGAGGTTTTCTCCAAGCAGTCAGGGGAGAAGTTCGCTCTCAAGGTCAGTTTTGTGCGGTTCCTCTTCCTCTGGTTCTTACCAGTCGAGCGGATAAAATTTATGACTTCTTTTTCGAGGATAATTTTTTCTCTTTTCGGTGGCGTGGGGGAGGGGGGCAAAATACCCGGAACTAAAGTGTTGGCTTACACAAAGGTGAGAGAATGTCCATACGACCACCGATGACTAAGCTAAGTGTGGGGTGACCCTTTGTTTGTTGTGTAGTCTCGTTGCATCATACCCCACATGTTAGGAATGACCCAATATTCTGTAAAATTCCACCATTTCCTCATACACTGTAGTGTAATAATTTAATTTTGACGCAAATTTTACAACCTAGAAAATAGTAGATTAATTTTGACACACTCAACAAATATTCAAGGACATTAAAACTTTGTCATTTAGTTTCATTATTTATATCAGTAAGAAAAGCAAAACAGCAACCCCCGTAGTAACGTTACATGTTCTCATGGAGTCTTTGGCATTTATTTCATTCTTGCACACAACTGATAATTATTGTATATATTGGTAATGTTACTGGTATGTTACAGTTGTGTGAAATTCACGAGATGTAAAAAATATGACATGAAATTTTGGTGATGAAAGAGTAACAAAATTTTCTTCAGTTCTTCTTTACCCTAGCCTGGGTACCATCCGGATTTTCGCTCCGCAACCCTCGAAAAAATCACGAATTTTTTTCGAGCGTTGCGGAGCGAAAATCCGGCTGGTACCCAGGCTATTTTTACCCCCTCATTCAATGGGTCCTTTGAAAAAACAATAATATTTACCTTTGGATATGGCATGAGAAAAGGAGGAAACATTACCACCCACTGTAACCAGAAACCTTTTGCTTTCATTCTGTGTAACATTCCACATAAATGTTTACCTTGACACAAGTTGTTACAAAACAGTTAATAGTACCAAGTACCAAGGATATTATCCTTGATACTGTAATTCCTGATTTTTTCACTCAGTACTGTTATGTTTACTGTTTTCACTGTCACTTCTGTACCGTGAACATTTGTATCAACTATCACTACAGTTAAGAAATAATTCCTGGACTTTCTTTTTCCTGCACCTGTCACCACAGTGAATATATAGTTCCATGAACATGTCCATTTTTCTCAGACCGTGAACTTTTGCTACCGTGAACATAAAGTGAATTACAATACATGTAGTACTTAACTACATACTAGTATGTGAAAACAGAAGGATGTTGTTCACCATTATGGCACAAATCTTGTGTAACCTATTAAAAAGTACAGCATACTAGTAATCATAATTTTATTCAGAAAAAGTATTACTAGTACCCTGTTTCACAATAAGTAAATATTGCACACACACTTAGTGTCCTAATTGGTAAGCTACGCATGAAATCATACTATGGCGAGTCAGCTGTATTAAAAACAATGGAACTGATAATATGGCTATTTCTGACAATGTTTGTAGAACATGACATGGATATAACTTGAAAGCATGAGGAAGTAAATTTGGGTGGTTTCTTTGTCATCAAATCTAGGTCTGAATACAAACTTCCTTAAAACTGCTAACCATGCATGACCTTACCTTAGTAACCATTGTTTCTTCTAATGTTTATGTCTAGTTTTGCATTTTACTCAACAACATATGTAGAGATTCAGAATATAGCATGCCTTTGGTTTATTAAACTTAAAGCTTCATTTTGCAGGCTCGATCCTAGCCTGGATACTTTCTTGAGGAGAAAGTCAGTACTTGACTACGTGCGATTTTGGATCAGTTCTATTTGTTGACTTTGCAATTTCAGGACGGCAAAAAAAAATATTCTGGATGAGGAAATGTGTTTTTGATATTGATATTTCATGCCATAATACTTAGTATTTTTGTCATCATTTCATACTAAAAAAACCGTTTAAAATAGCCCCAAAGCACATGTGATGTCTCTTTATTTTATGGGTACCACCCATAAACAGCTAGAACTAACCTATATATACTAGTATACAAAACAAGCAACCATTTCTCTCATTGTATTTTGGCCCCACAGATATCAGTACTTTGTAGTTATGCTACAGGATTACTATTGATTCAACCTACTACCAGACAAGTACCGGTACATTAAAAGAATGACCAGAAAATTGGCTTTGAAGTTCCAGTGTTGCCACCTTGAAATTGCACTGTATTGTATTGTAGTCCCAATGGTGGTACTGTATGTTTGACCTTTGACATAACCATCCTGGCTGGTACCTAGAAATTGTGGTTAGCTGTAATGTTATCCCTGGTTATTGTGTTGGGACTTGGCTAGAGGCCAATGTCATAAAATAAAGTAAAGCCTAGCCGTGTGGTCGATTGTGGGTTTAAGTAGATGCTGGCATCACTCAGCAATATTACTTGTAGTGGATAAAACACTTAGATTAGAATCCACTGAAAGCAAATATTTAAACTTTATCAAATGGACAATTTTGTTTTATTGGAAAGTTTATTTATAGATATAAATTTATAATTGGCTGTTCAACCCTCACAGCCAGGGCAGCCCAACTAGCCAGTGGCTATTACAATACAAGTAACAAAGGGCTTGCCCTGCTGACAAGACAAGACGTGACAAATAATCATAGCAACATATAAGGTGGCATAACAGTCAATTGCATTATTCTATCATAAAAATTTTCTACAAAGGAACTTTAAATCTATGAAAGTAGAGTAATTTTTACACCTGCCAAGCCACCATCTTTGGTTGGAGGTACTACTAGTATACCAAGCCTATCTGGCTTTTGGGTATTATTGAATTGTTGCCAGCTTACGTCAGAGATTTGGTAACCATTTATTTTTGCAACCTTACCCTTGAACTAAAGCAGGATACGGGAACTCCAGACAGGACGTAAACAAAACCCCACAGTCTGAAAAAGTGACAGTGATACCTTTGTCAACAGGAAGTCACCTTGCAACTAATGCAAGGTAGCACATTCAGTAGACCTGTATGTAACATGACATAACATTCTGGTTTCTGGTTTCCAATACTATAATTCACTTAATCTTTACAGTAGCAAAAGTTTTTGGTCTGAGAAAAATGGAGATGTTCACTGAACCATATGTTCACAGTGGTGGCAGGTGCAGGAAAAAGTTGGTGAATTGTTTGTCAATGGTAATGATATTAGTTAGCAGTACACAGAAGTGTGGCCTTGAAAACTGCGAACATAAAAGTACATGCACCGTGAAAAAATCAGAAAG